TTCTTTTCTCTAATTTCCTAACCTGAAAACAAACTCATAACAAAAAAAAAAAAACATAGAGAGAGGACCTGAAAATAGCATCGGTGGCACTGCGAGGTTGATTGGAGAGCTTGAGAACAATTTAAGAGAACAAAATGAGTATCGAGGGATTAATGGAAAACAATCAAAGCAAAAAGAATGGCTTCAGTGTGACTGAGTTTACATGAATACTGTTATCGCATGCCGAGGAGTTATTAAAGTCAACAAACAAGCTAGATGGGTAAACTATAAATTTTCGTAACACAAAACTTACTTCTAAAGTTGAAGCAGAAGACACTGAACCATCGAAGCCTGGCCTGCCGATCAGGCTTGAATCATTGTAGAAGTTATGAAGCAGCTCTGGAGACTTGGATAAGGTATTGTAGTATTGCTTTGCAAAGGCATTCCCCACCACTCTTGGATTAAGTTTGACATTAGATTCATCCACCTGTGTTGCCATCTCTACGGAAATAAAATGAACATGTTGTTAATAAGAGGGTGCTGATTTCTATAGTTTTGTTGTTTCTAATAGCAGGGTTTACACACTATCACTATCGTTTGTTTAGACACTATTTATGTAATGGGATGAGAGAAGTAACTGTAGGTTGTGAAGATAACTACTGCAATTTACAAAGACTAACTCATATGAACATTTGAACACGGCACTTCAACAATAGCCCAACGATCAGAAAATGAATTGTGCTAACAGATTCCAATAAACAGCTGTTGCTAATACTTCTTTTTTTTTTTCCATCCAATTTCCAGGAACTTTCTTAAATATGCTGTCACAATGCACAAGAAGCTGAGAACAAAAGGGGACACTCCTTATTTTGGAATTAAGATAAATGATACCACCTATATCATCAAGATTGACCAGATGATAACCATTTAGGTGGTGGCCAAGTGGTAAAGCTTTGGGATTAAGAAGTTTGCTCTTTCTGTGGTCTCAAGTTTGAGTCCTTGGTTGCTTATATGATGGCCACTGGAGGCTTACATGGTCGTTAACTTCAGGGCCCGTGGGATTAGTCGTGGTGCGTGCAAACTGGCCCGGACACCCACGTTAATCTAAAAAAAAAAAAAGATTGACCAGATGATGTAGAGACCCAAATACTCATTGAAGTAATTATGCTAACAATGAGATGGGGCTAGTTGGTCATGTGAAAGCTATGCATTTCTTGCTAAAGAAGTCCTGTTTTGGGTAAAGAAAGAATGATCTCAAATTGTCATTTTTATTTAGACAATAAACTTTGGGATATTCACTAGTGAAGAGATATATTCCAATTATTTAGGGAGAAACACAAAATGAGCTACAATTTCTTAGGCGTACGTAAATTCAGCAACAAACTACTATCTGCTTCGACTTCCAAGAATAAGTGTTTACAACGTCAAGAAAGATGATAAAGAAATTGTAGAGTAAGTCGAGTAAGTCATCAAATCTGAAGCATGCCCCCTAAACACTGATGCAAGGTTTACCACACTCACTCAACATCACATCAAAAAGCTTTCTAGCTTCATCACCTTGTCATTGCAGAAGATATCCATCCATCATGTAGCAATATTTAATACACAACCCAATATTCTCAATCTTTAGGTTCATTTTATGATTAGGTTAGATAGCTTATTGCCACTATATCATCCACTAATTTCATATCTTGGTTATATTTTTACTCTTCACCAACTCAACTTGCAAATTGATTTTCAAACTAAATAATCCAAAGTTCACAAAACATGCAAGAAACACACATTATTAGTCAAGGTACAAATAATATGATTCCTACCAATTCCATTTGTTCGAGCAAAAGTAAC